TTATAAGCTTGCATGCAGCTCTCTACTGAAATAATTAAGCTTCTTCACCTGATTTTCTCCCCAACATTGTGTTCCTACAGAAAGAAAGAAGAGGGAGGGCCCACGTGTAGTCAGCATGGCCACGAAGGTGGGTGGAGGGCTCTGGTGGCATGGTTCTCTCCTCTGGAAGAATTAATTAAACATCCCCTGGCATCAGAAGAACTCATATTTGTCCTCTGTTTCTACACTCAGCATTTGATATGTGCTTTACTTTTGTTTATCCCAGGGCTTCAGTAGAAGCAGGACAAATCCCTGATCAAGCACACATGCAGTTATATGTTCCATTGAGTTGACTGGGAGCTTCCTGTCAACTTGCAGAGATGTGTACCTAGGGCAGCAATCCCGTGGGGCCTTGTTTTTGTTTTTGTCTCCTGCCTCTGCCTCCGCTATATCATTAGAATAAATGACATATACAATACATTGATGGTATGAAGTTTAAATCCAGTATAATAACTTTCTATTTACATTCTATTTATTTTATAGCAGGCTGGGTCATGTACATGCAATGGTGCATGAGATGAGGTCAGAAGACAACTTGTGGAAGTTGGTCCTTTCTCCTCACTATGTGGGTTGTGGGGACCAACTCAAGTCTTTAGCCTCAGAGGCAACTGTTTTTGCCTCCAGGTCCATCTCAAAATCCCCCACTATAGCTCCTGATAAGTTGAAAAGGGAAAGACTTTTCAAATATCTCTAATCCCTTAACTACATCTCAGAGGCAACTACCACTGAGATTGGAGTGTGTATCTCTTGAGTCTTCTTATCTTTAGGATTAAGAACATTTGACCTTAAATAGGAGAAACCTTTGCTCTATTCCACCTACCTCTTTATGGAAGCACACATTTATGAAAATATTCTCCTCCCAAGCTTATTCGTTGTTGTCCATAAGCCAAACTTTGGGGTAAGTGCCAACTGTCAGTGGAGGCATTAGAGGCACAGCACCCTCCATTTCTATCATGCTCCAACATTGATAGTCAATCTTGATTATTAATTTCATTCGATGGAGACAAGATAAGACAAGGCAATTAGCCAATCCCATCTCTGAGTGAGTCTGTGAGGGCATGTCCAGAGAGGTCTAGACCATAGTGGCTTTGGCCTACCCAATGGCTTACGCATTACTAGATCCAAAACTGTTGAGGAGTGGTAAAACTGTGGAAGGCACTCTCTAGTGGAGGAGGTAGGTCACTGGGAGTGTAACTTTGAATGGGGATATTTTGCCTGGACCCCTTCCTGTCTTTGCTGTGCTTCCTGGCTTCTGTGAAGTGAGCAGCCCTGCCATGCCTATCTGACATGCAGCCTCAGCACAGTCTCACATATGAAGAACTAGCCAGCCAAAGATTGAATCCTCTGACTGTGAGCCAAAACAGGTCCAGCCAGACCTTCCTCCTTGAGGTGTCTCTCTTGGGGGGTTTGTCACAGTGAGGAGAGACAGAGTAACAAGCACTTAGTGACTATGCATCTGACTACTGAGCCTCCATTTCCCCATTAAAAAAAAAATGTCTTCCTCTAAAGGGTTAGGGCAGGCAACTTTGTTCCTTGAGGGTAACTGCTAATGAACAACAGCTACCTTTCTGCTTCCTTTTGGTTCTGAGGAGCTATGCACACAAACATGCAGGGTTTAAAATGAGTCCTACTATGATTTCTTTTGTGGAGAATTTGAAATCATGGGAGCTTTGAAGCCACTGGAAGCACCACAGTGGGGTGTAAGAACCCCTGCTGTCAGGAACTGCAGTTAAAGGGCCTCTGCAGCATGAAGTTAGCAGAGCAGTGTTGCAGTCTTTTTGTTTTTTAAGTAAATTGATACAGACAAAACTAGTTTTTCTATATTTTCTGACAAGGTCCAATATGGACTTCGGTGGCCTTTTCCGGTTTGGTGCTTTTAGGGGTTTGAGGTGATCAAGGTTTGGGTTGATTAGCTTCCCACTGCTGGCAGGAGTCCCCATGAGAAGCATCTTCGGAGGAGCAGAGGTTTGTCTTGACCATGGCTGTAGAGGTTCCATTCGATGTCCATCAGAGCCATTGCTTTTAGCCCTCCTGTGCTAGTCCTGAGTGCAATGGTTGGAGTTGCAAAGTGAAGGAATTGACTCACCATATAGCCAGGGAGCAAAAAGGAGAAAGGGACTGAGCCCTACAATCCCCTTCAGGAGTATGTCCCCAAAGACCTAAAGACTTCCCACCAAGCCCACCACCCCATCACCTCCCAATAATGCCATAACAGTGACCTCAACTCCTGAGCAGTTGGGAACCCTTAGGTGCAGACCATACCAGGGCCTCCCTGGGCTCCAGGGCTCCTGCCCTAAATAGTTTCTTTCCATGAAGCATTGACTACTGGTGGCCTGTTTTCCACAGAAGCTCCATGGTTTAATCACCATTTATTTACCCAGCAGATCTCACATTGAGGGCAACCTGGGATTTTGTCCAGTCTTTGTTTACACATCCTAAGCATTTTGATGCTCTTGCTTATAACCTCACACAGCTCTCGTGTTTTGCGATCAAGGTCTATTTTCCTTTATGTGTTTTCTTTTGCTGGGTTTTATCACCAGGATGGTAATGATTGAGATCAATCATTAAAAGCAATGGCCCTTAATCCACCCTTGTGCAAGAGAATTCTTATAAATAAACCAATCCTTTGTTTTCTAGGTGTTTTTTAATCCAAGCATCTGCACCTTGGAAAAATTAAAATGCAATTATTGGAAGGCTCTTTGCTGGCTGCTGCTCATAGCACACTGCATGCTACCCAATTAAAGTGGGAAGTCCATTCTGCCAGCTCAGAGTGCAGAGGGCTGCCGGGACCCAGGAAAGTATTTGTGTGGCATTTAAGGTCTGCTGGTTCAGCAGCAGAGCCCACAGCAGGCAGACTCAGGACAGCAAGCTCAGCACATCTGGACATGTTATGCCTCCCTTCTCTCTTGCCATGTGACTGCCTTAGAATGTATGCTTCTGATTGCCTGTAATTGATTCATTGACCCAGAATGGCTGTGACCTGTGTTAAACACTACAGTGTGTGTGTGTGTGTGTGTGTGTGTGTGTGTGTGTGTGTGTGTGTGTGTGTGTGTGTGTGTGTGTGTGTGTGTGTGTTTTCCATGCATACACCATCAGGATTGTGTAGCAACATACCATCTACTTACTGGTGGACTGCCAGCAGCAACCCACAAAGCATTTTAAAATGGAACAGAACTTGAAGGTAACCGGCAGCCAGATTGCATCCTTTCTGGATGTTGTTTTCTTTCAACCCATTGTCTGTGTTGCTGGATTGTTAAATCCACATACATAAAACACATTTTGAGGTCAAAATAGCATTTAACTTACTTCTTTGCTGCTGCTGCTGCTGCTGCTGCTTTTTAAATTCTGCAACCTTGGCCAAGCATTTTTCCAGAGAAAAATAGGCCTGTGGTACAGCACAGCCACTCACCATGTGGAATGCGGGATGTGTCACCCACTGGTAGCCCCAGAACCACATCTCTCTGCAAAGCCTGCGCATGAGGCCCCTCAGTACCTCATGGTGGGAACTCAGAAAGAGGGAATGCCCTGTGTGTGCCTGAACTTTGTGCCGGCTTGATAACATTTTTCTTTGTGTCCCTTACATCCCTCAGTAAGCACTTTACCTCTAAGCTGTACAGGAAACCCCACTTTTCTTTTTCATGGTGCCCCAGGCATTCTTCCCCCACCTTGCTCTGAAGGGGGAGGATAAGCATGTCCATGAATAGAAAAAGGCATGAGAAGCACAGTGACTGACACCAAAGCTGGTGTCATGCTAAGGAGATGAGTTTATTTCTAAGTGGGGAGGGGAGGTCGTTTTTTTGATGAGCTAATTCCCCCTAGATCGTCCTTCCTCATTCTGTGACAAATCCTTCCCTCCTGTGACATTTCAGGAAAATTACTGAACACCCGGCAAGATAGAGCTTAGCAGGTAGACTGGTACCCATGGTGGTAGTGAACAGGCATTTCTCCGTCAAGTGATGCTGAGCCAGAAGATAAAGGACAGCTGTGTTCCTTCTTCACCTCTCTGGCTACTGCTACACAGATCTCGTTACCCAATGTGACCTCACAAGGAGACCAGTTAGCCCCCTCCTCTAGTCTATCCAGGTCTCTGTGAAGGGCAGCCTGCACATGGGTGGACATCCAATGATAGGGGATGGCAGAGACCTCCTGCCATAAGCCCTGGGGTGCCCGGGTGGCACAGGATGGACATCCTGGGAACAGAGCAAGAAGAAGTATGGAGAACTGCTGTGGAGGGCAGGAAACCTGGAGCCAGTGGGCTGAAGTGGGGCTTCCTCTCCCTGCCCTGTTACTGAGCACTATAACCTTGCTCTCCTCAGCCATCTATGCTGTACACATGCAGCCCTCACCAGTGAGCCTTCCTCTCAGGGAAACCCCTGGCCCTTCTCCAGCAATTGGCTTACTGATGTCCATCTGGATCTCCTGCCCTCTGTTGTGCTGCCTCTTACTCATACCTCTACCCTGTGCTGACTTTGACCCTGAGGGTCAGGAGTAGGGGGAGGCAAAAGTACAAAACTTAGGGATGTCCTTCTCAATGGCATGTAAGTGCAAGACGGACATCCTCCTTAAATTCCACACCGCTTAGCTTGTTTTGCAGGTCTCTTGCTCTAAGCCCCAAATGCCAAGCCAGGTGACTCTGAGAGACTCTTTCTGAACCTAATTTGGGTTGCCTCTGTTCTCAGTGATGAGAATGTATTAGATGCTTTGATAAGCCACTCAGCACTCTACCTGACCCACGTCAAGGCCTTGCTAGTTTGTGGTCACTGCCATTATTATTGGATGCATACAAACTCATCCCACACAAGCTGGTCTCAGGGGCGTTCCAGGCTTGCAGGTCTAGCTTGGTAGATGACAGCGTCCCCATTTGTTCTTTTCAAGGTTATGCGTGATTCTGACTGTGTGGGCTTTCCTGTAGGTCAGGGCCTCCCGTTCTGAAGAGGATGTGTTTTGTGTCTCTGCTGCAGGAATTGCTTACTTAGGAGGCGTATGCAGTGCTAAGAGGAAATGTGTGCTTGCTGAAGACAATGGTCTCAATTTGGCCTTTACCATCGCCCATGAGCTGGGCCACAAGTAAGTATCAGACTCCCATGTTCTGCCTCCTTCCTTCTTCTCCAGACACATTTTGCCCCAGGACACAGAAGCTCTGTGCCCTTGCTGTTTCTGTAATGAAAAGGTCCACCTCAGGGATGGACTCCTGAGTGTGGAAATGTTAACATGAAGTTTATTTATTCTCAAAGCCAGCAGTGAGGTCTTCGTGAGCATCTTACTTAGTTGTAGTACTCTTCCAAGCTCAGCGTGATCTCTTAATTCACTCCAAGGACATCATTCAAAACTGGATGGATTTATTGTTAGACTATTTGCTTTCTGTTTCCCTTTCAGTCACTTCCAAAGCCCCACTTTCTGAATGTAGAATGCACTGTCTATGTTTGGGAGAATCAGAGCAGCTGCCTTTGCACATGGAAGGAAAGTCTTTTATACTTTAATATGAAATAACCCTAAAATCCTAGAGCCCAAAAGTGCCTTCTGGAGAATCTGGGGCAGCTGCCTCCATTTTCAGAGGAGGAAACTGGGTGTGAGAAGGGTTGCAGTCACCTGCAGGAAGTCTCGGGGGCACATAGCCAGCCTATTCTACAACTGTGGCCTGAAAGTTTATCCTTTCTGCTAGAAATGATGTCTGTTTTATGTTTCTCTGAAGGGAACAACTGTGATATGACTGTGTAAGAACTTTTAAAAAATTAAATTGAGGAAACCTGAGCATGCAGAACAGTGGGAAAATTTATATTGGATTATATAGAACATAAATGGAAATCTAGTTCTTGGGAAATGGTCGTAAAGGTTTACTAATGACCTCCACAGGAAGGGGCCCAGGGCCTTAACTATTATGTCGAGTTGTTGCAAGAGTAAAGCCAGTGTATACAAAGGATGGAAAAACAATGGCTTTCCTGAAGCAATGGTGATGTCTCAGGCCTTTCTTTCTCTTTTGTTCTGTTTATCGGGTCCCATGTGTAGGAGGTTTAGCAGTTGGCTCCTCTAGACTTGTTGGATACTATCATGTGGCACAGAGGGAGAACATGGTGGGTAGATGTTGTGTGTTTAGCACAAGGAATATGTATTTATTGACCTGGGTCTAACAAAGCCAGCCAATGGCCCTGATGCACACCCTTGCTCCATGCTCATGCTGCTTCTTGACTGTTGGTGACAATACTTTGCCTTGGCTCTCACTATTTTTTTCATTGTATTTATAATCACTACTTTCCAGTAGTTAAAACCCTAGCTACTCATTAGGAGCAGGGGAGAGCATAGATCACCATGACTTTGGTAGGCATTTTCTGACCATTAAAGAACCAGCAAGCCTATCTTGGTACCTGGGAATGAGTCAGCTGTGTAAAGGTTTTAAGAATGTAGAGCTTCGCTAGGCTGAGCTCCTAGAGTTCAGTTGAAGAGAGAGAAGAGGGGTCATATGAACAAGGGGGTGTCAAGAGCATGATGGGGGAAAACCAGAGATAGCTGACCCGAGGTAGTGTGAGCTCCCAGACTATGGACTGACAGCTGGGGAACCTGCATTGGACCAAACTAGACGCTCTGAATATGGGTAACAGTTCTGTGACTTGATCTGCTGGGGGAGCACTGGCAGTGGGATCAGGACCTATCCCAGGTGCATGAACTGGCTTTTTGGAGCCCATTCCCTATGGTGGGATATCTTGCTCAGCCTTGATTCAGCAGGGAGGGGTTTGGTCTTGCCCCAAATTGGTATGCCAGACCTTGCAACTTCCCAGGAAAGGCCTTACCCCCTCTGAGGAGAGGGATTGGTATCTAAAATGGAAAAAAAAAGTAAATAAATAAAAGGATGCAAAGCTTCAGGGATGGGGAAGCATCTGTGACAACAAGTCAAGTCAAGTTTCCCTAGTGCCAAGTTTCTCATTAAGTCCAAGTTATCTCTTTCCTTGCTCTCCTTCTCTGTTCTTCCCCCAACTTGGTCTTCCTGATCCCTCATGTTCTCCTCCTCCCTCCCCTTCACCCCTCCTCTTTCTCCTACCTTCCTGCTCCCCCCTCCCCGTGCTCCCAATTTACTCAAGAGATCTTGTCCCTTTCCCCTTCTCTGGGGGACCATCTATGCCTCTCTTAGGGTCCTTCTTGTTTCCTAGTTTCTCTGAGGTTGTGGATTGTAGGCTGGTTATCCTTTGCTCTATGTCTAATACCCACTTATGAGAAAGTACATACCATGTTTGTCTTTCTGTATCTGGGTTACCTCACTCAGGATGGTTTCTTTTATTTCTATCCATTTGCCTGTGAATTTCAAGATGTCATTGTTTTTATCGCTAAGTGGTACTCCATTGTGTAAATGTACCACATTTCTTATCCATTCTTCAGTTGAGGAGCATCTAGGTTGCTTCCAGGTTTTAGCTATTACAAATAATTCTGCTTTGAACATAGTTGAACAGATGTCCATGTTGTATGAATGGGCTTCTTTTGGGTATTTGCCTAAGAGTGGAATTGATGGGTCTTGAGGTAGACTCATTCCTAATTTTCTGAGAAGCCACCTTACTGATTTCCAAAGTGACTGTACAAGTAAGTTTGCACTCCCACTGGCAATGGAGGAGTGTTCTCCTTTCTCCACATCCTCTCCAGCATAAACTGTTGTTGGTGTTTTTGATTTTAGTCATTCTGACAGGTGTGAGATGGAATCTCAGAGTTGCTTTGATTTGCATTTCCCTGATGGCTAAGGATATTGAGCATATACTTTAAGTGCCTTTCAGTCATTTCAGATTCCTCTATTGAGAACTCTCTATTAGTTCTGTACCTCACTTTTTAATTGGATTATTTGGTTTTTGGTGACTAGCTTGAGTTCTTTGTATACTTTGGAAATCATCTCTCTGTCAGATGTGGGGATTACCCCAACTAAGAATCTAAGCAATAGTGGAGAGACTACCTTAAATGTCCTTCCCTTATAATGAGATTGATGACTACTTTAAATGCCATCATGGAGCCTTCATCCAGTATCTGATGGAAGTACCTTGGGCATAGGTCCTGCCCCCAGTGTTGTGACAGACTTTGATGATCCCCCATGGGAGGCTTCACCCTCTCTGAGGAGTGAATGGGGGGGGTGAGATGGGGAGATGGAGGGGGGAAGGGGAGGATGGGAGGGAGCAAGAACTGGGATTGTTATGTAAAATAATATTGTTTTTAATTTAAATAAAAATTGACTAAAAAAATGATTATCTGAAGGAGCTGAGGAAATGGCTCATTGTGGGCAGGACTTGCCACTCAAGTATGTGGGCCCAAGTTCTGATCTTCAGAACCTGGGTAAAGCCAGATGAGGTAGCATATGTCTGCAATCCCTTCCCTCCTGTGGTAAGGTGAGGCATGTGGAAACAAAATCACAGCCAGCTAGCCTGCTGTACATTGCAGTGAACCCAAGACCATAACTGACACTTGGGCTGTCCTGAGTCACACACACACACACACACACACACACACACACACACAGAGAGAGAGAGAAAGAGAGAGAGAGAGAGACAGACAGACAGACAGACAGACAGACAGACAGACACAGACACAGACACAGACACAGTCACAGACACAAACAGTCACAGGCAGACAGGCAGATTACTTTTAAAGATGATTTGAGAGGCTGGAGAGTACCCTTCTCCAAAAAAATCTGTGTACCGTTTCCTTGAGAATTCTCTATAGCTTGCTACTAAGCTCTAATTACAGACAAAAACAAACACCTTTGTGAATCAAAACCAATAAACTACTGAGCAGTGGTTAAGAACATGTACTGCTCTTTGCAGAGGACCCAGGTTCAATTCCCAGCACCACATCTGGCTGCTCACTACAGTTATATCTAAAGTCCTCTGGCCTCCACAGACACCCATCTGAATGTGATGTACAGAAGCCCACACAGGCACACATATATACACATACATAAAAAAGATAAAGAAAAAGATGAGTTGAACTACTGTAATATGAATTGCAGTGTCCTGTGGCAGCATCCAGCACGGTAGTCTATATCCCCGTGATATTTGCACACATATGCCATGCCACAGGAAGGCATTTCTTCCTTGAGTGTGAAAGCACAGAGGCCTTTTCTTCTGGATGAGCTGCCGGGTCAGATACTGTCCACTTAGCACAGGAGGTCTGGAGAGGTAAATGGCTAGACACAGGCACACTTCAATACCCTTTAGCTATAGACTGTGCGCAGTTTCTTGAAAGATTTGCTATAGCTTGTTCCTAAACACTAATTACCTACAAAAACAAACACTATTGTGAAGGGAAGCCAATAAACCCTGCCAGCAATTGGCCTCCTCCAAGCCTGGTGATTACAGTTTTCCCAGGGAAGTCTGTTGTCTGAGTAGTGTCTTTGTTGGGAAATAGTGCCCTACCCACCTCCACCCTCTACCAGCCAAGCCACAAAATCCCTCTCTGAGGTCCCCTCTGGTCACCCTAGTTCAGGACAGTGGGGGAGGGGCCCAGTGAACTGCTTAGAAAAGGGGAGGCCTAGCAGTCTCAGCAAAGCCAAAGACCAAACTGCTTCTGACACATCCAACCTGAATTGGATCACATTCTGTGATGGAGTGGCCAGTCCAACTCTGTGTTCTTTCACATATGTTGAGAGGGTCGCCAGGTCATTGATCCACTAGTCCCCATTGACAAAGTGCTGATAGGGGAGGTGTCAGTGATGGTGCGAGTCTTTATACCTGGGTCTTAGAGGCTCTTCCATTCCTTACTAGCATGCCTCCTATCAGAACCCCCTATGCACAGCCACCCTACCCACTCCTGCAAACAGAAAATTCACCTCCCACGTGAGCTGCACACTCAATTGTCAACTGACTTCATGGTTTTGCTTCTGATTTGATTTTAAGAAAGAAAAAACTCAGGCCAGGTAGTGGTGGCACACGCCTTTAATCCCAGCACTTGGGAGGCAGAGGCAGGCAGATCTCTCTGAGTTCGAGGCCAGCCTGGACTACAAGAGCTAGTTCCAGGATAGGCTCCAAAGCCACAGAGAAACCCTGTCTTAAAAAACT